GGACGAGCAGCGCAGCACCTCGACCGCCGGCGACCATGGCACGGCTCTTCTGGCCGCTGGGAGGACGGACATGTCGCAGGCCCCTTCACTCCCTGGTTGCGGCGGCTTCTACGGATCTCAACAGAAGGGCGGCGGCGGTTTCTCTACATCGCACCATCAGCGTTATTCCCATCGAGTTATAAGCAGTCAAAATTCGAGTTTATATTATCTTAACTCTACTTGGGCATGTTTCATTACCATCGATAACTTTACTAAATCGAGTTATAAACGGAGCGTTAGGGGGGGTAGGAACCGTCGGTTTTACAAACGGAGTAGCGTAGGTACCCTAAACGAACTGGTGTAAGCAAATGACACCAATAGCACTGGTGTCATTTTAGACTTACCGTTTAATTAATTGGATAAAACTTAGATCAAACTTGAAGCCCCGACTCCAAAACAAGTGTCAACACTTTTCCTTTGGGATCAATTCGTAAATATGAGTTTGGGCTCTAATGGGAAGAGAAGCCCAATTCTAAATCTCAATTTTATTTGAATATGCAAAAACCCAATTTCTCGTTCCCTTTATTCCGTCTCTTCCTCCCATTTGTGTGTGTGTTCTGATTAGGTGAAGACTTTCATCGGTAGCAGCAGCCCAAGTCGGTAGTGGCGGCTTCAATTCCTCGAACGGCAACATCGCTCCTCCCTCGGCAGTGACTCCTGGGTGAAACATCAGTGATGAACGGCAACTCAACACTACGTGTCGTGCCGGCTTCCGTGCCTAGAGCATGTTTTTTTTTTTGTAGTGTGTACAACCTATTAATCACTGTTGCACATAAATTAACACAAGAGCTGCCTAGGTGCATGTCAAGTGAATGATGACCTGAGCTTAGTACATATACATACATGCAAGTTAAATTCGTCTTTGATTTTTTTTAGTTATAATTGTCTGAGTGGTTTTTGTTGAGTCAAAATATATAGTTGCATAACAAATGTAAACAAAAAATAATGTTTTTTTAAAAAAAAAATTAATTAAAATTCGAATACAAAGTCAATTGAGTGGGAACAGACTCCACACTTGTAACATAAGAAATAATCTATGCACAAGCCAAAATAAAATTATATGAAGGGCTAATCTAAAGAGAAAGAACATATACTTAAACATAACTACAAGAACTGGTCCACGATGATCCACTATTAGCCATGTGAACCCAAACTCAATCACTCCCGGATCCTCAACTCCCGCAGAAGTAAGGCCTAGAGTCATGTATTTCAGATTAAACCAAAAATCAATCACTTCCGGATCCTCAACCCCTGTAAAGGGTAAGGCCTAGGGTCATGTATTTCATATGAGTAATAGCCAAAGCACACAAATCAATAGACCAAGAGCTTAAGACGGCCCAAGTATAGTTCAAATGAAGAATAAAAACTCTTAAATAATAAAAATTTCAAGAAAGAAGGCCATGTGCACAAGGTCCAAGCAAAATTGGGCCATCCCACGAAGAGGTAAGACCAGGCAAGCCAAATGATCAAGCCCAAAACCAAAGAGTCCATTGCCGACGAGCCATATGCGAAAAGATGAAGAATTCGGCCCAGTCTCCAAATCCATAATCTGTGAAAGAGTCAGCCCAGCCACGGAAAAAGAAGCCCACAAATATTATGCCCACAAAGGAAATATACGGCCCACAAGCTTGACCGCCCAAATTCAAAATGCAAGAACCCAGCAGCAATAAAAGATGCCATGTAACAAAGTCAAACTACTAAAGCCCAAAAATAATTCAAATAATGAAGCATCAAGTCCAAGATATTCATGCGCCATCCCAAACAACAAAAGCTAACCCAATACATTCCAAAACAGTCTGGCACCCACAATGAAACCCATCTGAAGATAAAAACCAGCCTCCAATCACGTAATGGTGCAGACCAAGTAAGTATCCAAAGTCCAAACCAAACCCGAGAAGAAAAGAAAGTACCACCTTTGGTTAGTGGCTAACCCATTTTTTTAATTAATATACCATCTATATTTAATTTAATTATAGGTCAAATTTGAAAACGTTGACTAAAAAAAGTCAAAATTTGACAAGTACTCTAGGACGAAAGTAGTACTTTCTACTTTTTTATTGGAATTAGATTAGACCAGATCAAAATAGATCAGATCAGAAATAGTTTTAAATATAATTACATTTAAATCAAACCAAACTTATTTCAATCAGATCGGAATCATTCAGATCAGGTGAAGTGGAACGTGACCTAAGTGGTGTCAAAAACTTTTTATCCCCTTAACATAACTTATTTTATCCACCCGAACTGCCCTAAGAAAACAAAAAGAAAAGTACTTCCTCCGTCCCAAAATATTTGCCACACTTACTTTTTTAGCAGTCGCGGGAACTTTTGTTTATTTCTACGTTTTCATTGGTTATTTGATAAAATAAAATATTCTTGACACTTCTTATTTCAAAGAACTTTTCGTACAATTTTTTGATATGTAAATTTTATTTTTTATTTCTATACCAATATTTAAATAAAATAAATTAAAAAAAAACTTTGTATTTTGCCTCGGGAATAACAAATATTTAGGGACGGAGGGAGTAGTTTGGGCCTTCGGCCGATGTTCTTTCGCACCACTGCCACACGACTCATGTGCTTCCCGTTTTTTGCTTTCCCACAAAAGTAATTAAAAGCAACTTGCTTTAGCATGCCCCTCCTCCAACCCCACACACATGAAAAAGATTTGTTATTACTCTAACAAATTCATATGCACTGTGTCCTACCGTCCTCCAATCAATCATTTTGTGCTGAAAATATCACACCATCCATATCTATTTTAGTGTACGGTGGTTTTAAAGTTACACTTTATTTATAAGGTCATTTGTTATCACAGGTCATTTTGTGATAAATGTGCATTAAAATTTTTCAATATGGGGTCGAGTAATTTTACTCTTTCTTTTTTTTTTCTTTTCATTTTTATATATCTAATGATAAATTTATTCAATTGATACAAATTAATTAATGAGGTGTGTATAACCAAGCGAAGTGTGTAGATTTAGCAATAATCTCTATTTTTTTAAGGAAAAATTCATTTTTTAGCAAGGGAAGGAAATTAAAAATTCATTTAAATTTAGTCTTTTCTTGACTCCAACTTTGCCCAACTTCCAATCGTCATGTTATAAACATGACGTGAATGTGTGTACATGTTTGTGTGAATAAAAAAAGGAAAAAAGGACTATATAAGTAAATATTAAAAATATATCAAAATAAATACAATGTCAATCGTGATTATATATATACTTTCCCAAAAAATATTGTGAATTATTCATATAGAGTGTCATATTACCACAATGCAAACTCTTACTCTAGCGATAAAAATATGAAACTCCTATTTCAATACTTTCTACATCTTTGATTTCTCTATAAGATGATTTCTTAACAAAAAAAGATAGAGAGTAAGATGGTAACTTTAATCAACCGCGTTTGAATATGTGACAAGTGTTTAAAACTAAATAAAGTGGATGGGCAGTTCATATTTTTTTGAAAAAGAGAGAATTATTTAAGATTCAATACAACTAAAAGTTTGTGGTCTCTATTTTTGATACAATGTTGAAAAACTAATTCAACAAAAATTCAGTATGATAAACTTACAGTTAGAAATTTAACAAAATATTTGTCCATCATTTCTCTCATCAAAATAGAATGAATTTTATTTTTCTTTCTCTTAGTTCATTTTGTCTCTTCTTTTTTTCTTTCACTTTTATTTTCTTTTCCTTCCTAATCAAATAAAAAAATTATTCTTCATCTCATACTCTTCTCTCTTTCAAATGTCTTGAACCAAACAAAATGTTTAAGACAAATAATTAAAAAAGTGAATGTGAAGCTTTTTATTGGACAGAGGATTAATTCTTTCTAGGCATTTAATGAGTGTAATCTTTTAATTTAAATAATTCTTTTAAGAGTAAATTTCCAAAATGGTCATCTTTAATAAGTTGTTTTCCGAAATCAATTTCAATAAATTTTAATTATCTTCGTGGTTCTTTATAACGTAGATTTATTTACTAGGTAGTATTTCGTAAATAATGTTACTCAAATGATGATTAATCGGGGGGTATTTTGATATTTTTTATCAACTAAATTTAGAATAAGTTCTTATCATTTCTAATGAAGTGCGTTTTCAAAATGATTTTTTCTAATTAAATATGTGTATTTGATTCGAATTTTATAAGATTTTTTATAGGTTTTAATAATTCATAGATTATGTATAGTCAATGTATTATTTTAATTTTACATTTAATTGTATAAAAATGATAATTTTTAGAATATGCATTAAATTTAGGTAATAAAATTATCAAAATATCCTTTAATTCATCATCATTTGAGTAACATTATATGTGATGGACTATCTAAGTAATAAATCTCAATTATAAAGGACCACGTAGGTAATTAGAACTTATTGAGGACTGAATTGAAAAATAACTTATTACAAGGAACCATTTTGAAATTTTACTCTTATTTTAAATATGCTATCAAAATTTTGTTGACCTAAAAATAATGAATTTGAATCAAACTATGATGATTCCAATATAATAAATCATTACTCGAAATATTATACGGATCGCGGATTTTTTAAATAGTTCCGATCTCATATCTATCAGTGTCGTCGTACCTGTTAAATTATATAATCTCAATTTCTTAAGCGCATAAATAAAACTCGAATACTGAATGTGCAGAAGCATGGGATGATCTTTATGCTACTATGCCAACATGTTTCTACACAAATTGTGGAGTAATCCTTTAATATAATAAAGGAGACTCGGATGCACAGATATTCGACATTTGGCATGTCTATGTGGCAAAATTTAAACATGTAAGCATGCCACGTAATATCCGAGTAAACCAGCGGAAATAAATTATATACGATGCACCAGCGGATCTCCCGTTGAAAATAATTGGCCGTAGATTTTCTACGCGATAATCACTGGCCTTCAACACAATTCTTTCCTTCAGATTACAACAATACGAACTGATATTATGATGATAATATAAAATAATTATAAATAATTATGAAAAAATATAAATACTATTTAAAAAATAAATATAATATTTTTCATTTAATTTAAATAGAATTTTAGGACCATGCTACATATATTAATCCTTTATCTTACTTCCATATTTAAAAATTACATACTTGGATTAATAA